TCGGATTTTTTTCGACAGCATCAACAGAAGGCGAAGTTTTATTTGAACTTGTAAAGAGGGTCATCACTGAACGTGGCTTGAAGTTAGAGGATATTGTTGCCGAGTGCTTCGATGGTGCATCCAATATGAGTGGCGTTCGGAAAGGCGTAGCGGCACGAATGAAAGAATGCTCACCGCGAGGAGTATATATACATTGTTACGCGCATATCCTTAACTTGGCACTGTAAGACACTATGAGTGATGTGCAGCCACTCCGAAATGCACTAGGGACATTACAAAGTCTGTATAATTTCTTGGAGGCAAGTCCAAAACGTCATGCCGTGTTTAATTCTGTTAAGATAGATGGTGATCACCTTGTTCTCACACTAAAATCTTTGAGTGAAACGAGATGGTCCTGCAGATGGGAAGCAGTAAAAGCAGTCAGCGAGCAAATGCCGAAAATTATCAAAGCTCTTCTCATTTTAACAAAGGATAATGATACTAAGACGTACACGGACAGCGTTGCCATTTTGAATGCCATTTGTGATTTTGAATTCGTATTTGGCTTGATTCTTCTGAAGGTGATATTATCAAATACAAGCAGTCTAAGTAACTATCTGCAAGGGAAAGGCGTCGACGTTATCACTGCAAAAAGAAATGCTGATCTCACGATCAACACGCTCCGTAAATGTCGCAACGAAAAGAATTTTGAACTCTTGTGGGAAAGAGCACAGATCATGTCCAATGAAATGAAAAAGGACATCAAGGGATCTCGTTTCGTATTCAAAGAGGCAAGGGCACCCCGGAACAAACCATCCCGTCGCCTGCAAGCACTTATCGGTGAATCCACGAATACCGCGTGTGTGACAACGCCGAAAGCCCATCATCGCATCAATACATTCTACCTATCTCTCGACAAAGTGCTTAGCGAAATGAAATCGCGATTTCACAACAACGATCAAGAAATTTTGTGTGCTTTGGGAGACGTTGTGCTAAACGACTCACCTTTAGAAAACAGCTTTGATGCTGTGGCAGAGTTTTACAATGTCGATAGGGATCTTCTTGAAGTGGAGAAGAGTATGTATCAAAATTCCATCATGGACGAGTCCAATCCTCGGGCGAAAACTGCGGCAAACGTTGTCGACAAAATGTTTCAGGATGGACTATGCGACTTATTACCTGTACTATACGAGGCAGCAACCATTCTTGCGTCGATTCCCGCTACGTCCTGTACTGCTGAAAGGTCATTCAGTGGATTGCGGCGCGTGAAAACCTACCTCCGCTCGACAATGGGCGAAGAAAGCTTGAATTCTATCGCTGTCATTAACATTGAACGAGCACATGCCAACCGAACTATTAAGAACGACATGGTTAAAATAATTGACACTTTTGGTAGACGAAATGGACGAGATAGCTATTTCTTCTAAGTGTAACCTTTTAGCCAGGTTTCAAAATTGGTAAACTCATTTGTAAACGTCCAATTTAAATGTTAAATGTTAAAATTTAGATAATTTATTTGTAAAATCAAATAAAAAGTGTGATCAAAATTCGGGCATTTTTGTCATCAGCTTAAAAATTCGGGCAAATTTTGTTTGCCCCAAATAGAATTGTGCCCGTACGCCTATGGCAATAACTCCCATGACTAACTTGTAGAGACATGACATCAGAGCAATAGGTCGGAAGTTAGAAGGGTCGTCTGTGGAACCTTTCTTGTAAATTAGCACTGTAATCCGCCTCCAGGCTGGTGGAACGTCGCGTTTCTTAAAACAATGGCTGAATAGGAGAGAAAGGATAGAGCACGATGGGTCAACTCGCTTTAGATGGCGATATTCAACGCAATCAGGACTCGGAGAGGTATTGGCAGCAGAGACAAGTTTCCGTCGAATTTCCTTGTTTGTTGGAGTTGTAAATAACGCGTCATCAATTGCAGCTGGAGTGGTGAGATCATTTAGTTTATCTTGAAGAGACGTTATGTCACAATTACGAAGGGAAAAAGTGTCCTTGAAAAACGATTCGGCATTTTCAATTGATCCACTACACTACACTACACTACACTACACTACACTACACTACACTACACTACACTACACTACACTACACTACACTACACTACACTACACTACACTACACTACACTACACTACACTACACTATTCATTCTTTATTTCAAATTAGTTTACAGGTGATGGGTCTTGCTTAATAGTCCTAGTCATTATAACAATTAGTGCCATTAATGGTCATATAAATATCAAAATGGTCAGTAGATCGTGTCCGATATAAATACCGTAGTTTATGCTAGATGTTCATAGCTAAGAATATTTATTACTCTAGAAGGTGGTGTACCGCATTTCTCAAAGAATCTGCGGGTTTGAGATTGCTCTAACTCATCAATGATACTACAAAAGTTATAAAATTGTTCGCAATTCTTGAAAGTGTCATTGGGAATTTGGTCATCGTTAAATTTGTACTGTAGGTGATCTTTGACATAATTTTGAATTTTTTCCTTGTTGGTCTGGGGATCCGTAGCACACGTTTTATAAAATTCTTCAACTGGATCAAGATCAGACTTCGGACATTCAATTACGTGAAGTTGGGCGAGGTAGGAGGGAATAGAATCATGGCATAATCTGCATGTGCCGTTTGAATTCATGAATTCGGCATCGATGGCGTCAGACAAATATCCGTTTGAAAAGGACAGTTTTTTAGGAGAAAGGCCAAAAGAATTTGTTCTTGGATCAAAGTCACTGACCGGCTCATAGTCGGAATCAGAATACAGCTCCTCTTCGTCAGATTTTTCATGAATAACTGACAAATCCGGTTTAACATCGCTCGCGTGACTCTGTTGATTACTCTCGAGACTGTGTTGATTATTAGTACACTGCGGAGAATTATTAACTTGATCAGCTTTGGGGCTTATATTTTGACTTGTATTCTCAGATTTCGGGGTAATACTCGCTTTAGCTTTATAATTAGCCGTATCGACCGGTTTGAGGACGGTAGAGATCTTGTCTATTAACCGACTTACGAGGCGAATTGAACAATTTAGTGCAAGTCCCAGGAGAGTTATTTGGAAAGTTTGCAATGTTTTCATTATACGCACGCCGTGAATATATTGGCGATTCATTATGACTATCGGACCTGTTCGCAACAGGTGGGAAATTTGTCTGAGCATGCGCGAGTAAAATGAACCACGCAATGGCGTGGAATACACGCAACGCGTGTTTACAAAAAGGCACAATCGTGTAAATATTGCCAAATGTTTGTACAAAATAAATGACTGTTTTATGTTGAAAGAGTAGACATGATCTAAATTAATCATACAGATTTTTTTAGTGACGTTCTATTTCAGTACCCTGCCATTGTCTCTGGTGGGCTGTCCGTGTGCATTCGATCTGAAACAGTTGCTACTTTGCTGTCGAAGAATTTCGAATGTTTACATGAAAATAGAGGCAAGTCATGCTTTTTACAACCTCTTAAACTGTATGAGCCCCTATTTTTACGCTTATACCTAAGATATCAAATAAAAGTACATGAAACAGAGAACATTTGTAGAAAGTTTTATCGTGAGGCCACGGTCAGTTTTTAAAATATCTTTATTTCTGTTCCGGTCAACACCAAAATTACACAAAAGCCGGGCTTGAATATACAACAAATTTTGAATCTCATCAAGCACAAAAATACTTCCCCCTAAGTTTATTTATTTATTTTTTGTCCGTTTTCTAAACTTACGTTTCTTAAAAATGTGTCAATAAATAATCTAATTAAATAATCGTCTTGAATATTAACACTTAGAATGTCAAAGTTCATAATCGTCTAGTTTCTTGGGTCTTCTCCTTTCTCTCGTCGGATAACGTCGAGTTTGAGTTTCAGGAGCTTGAGTTTCAGGAGCTTGAGTTTCAGGAGCTTGAGTTTCAGGAGCTTGAGTTTCAGGAGCTTGAGTTTCCTTGTGGAAGTATTACTTTCTTGAATTTCTTCGGGAGCAATAATACTCGAATCTTTAGTGCTCGAGGAACTTATTTGGTCCTGATGACGTCGTACCATTTTTCCATCATCTAATGCAACTTTCGCAGAAATTGGGCCCGTAGACTCAACGACTTTTCCAGCAGTCCATGGAAACTTCGGGTTTGAATAATTTCTCACGAAAACATCGTCACCAATGGAGACTGAACGCTGTCTTACGTGTTCATCACAATGTCTCTTCTGCTTATGTTGAGCATAACGTACAGTTTTCCCAACATCTGGCTGTAATAATGTCAAGTGTGATCGTAACTTGGTTCCCCATCTTAATTCCGCGGGCGATATACCTGTAGTGGTATGCGGTGTGGTTCTATACTTAAATAGGAATCGAGATAAACGAGTTTGCAAAGTTCCACTCTGCTTCTTCATCGCTTTCTTGAACGTTTGCACAGCTCTTTCGACTAAGCCATTCGTTGAAGGATGATAAGGGGCAGATTTTACATGTCGAATTCCATTATTTTTCATGAATTCCTCGAATTCCTTGCTCACGAAAGCTGGACCATTATCAGAAACTACCATCTCCAGTAATCCATGATTTGCAAATGTCATGCGGAGTTTCTCGACCGTTGACTGAGTATTGCACGAGTTAGTTATGTGAATATCCAACCATTTCGAGTGAGCATCGATTATCAGTAAAAACATCTTGCCCATAAAAGGGCCTGCGTAATCGATATGTATACGGGACCATGGTCGGTGTGGCCATTCCCAGGGATGTAAAGGTACTCTTTGGGGTGTCCTCTGGTGTACTTGACATGTTGAACATTTCTTTGCCTTTTCTTCTATTTCTTTATCGATTCCTGGCCACCAAACATGTCCACGAGCTAAACTTTTCATTCGCGGCATTCCCGGATGAGTATCGTGTAAAAGATTCAGGACGTCCGTTCTTCCTTTGGGAGGAACCACTACCCGCGATCCCCATAACAGACATCCATCTTGAACACTAATCTCGTCTTTTCGTGTGAGGTAAGGCTTAATGTTCTCATCATTCACTTGCGATGGCCACCCTTGAAGTGTAAACTTAAGTACTTGTGATAGTACGGGGTCTCGCAAGGTCCACTGTTTGATCTTCAAAGCATCCACTGGACTTTGATTGAGGTGGTCCACCAAATTTACTACTTCTTGTGGTATTGGTGTAGACTTTGGCTCAATTTTCAAAGGTAGTCTGCTAAGAGCATCTGCATTTCCGTTTTCTTTACCAGGACGATATATCAGGTCATACTCGTACGCTGCTAAAGTCAAAGCCCATCGTTGAATTCGGCCGGATGCCATTAATGGTACGGGTTTCTCACATTTGAAAATCCCAAGTAGTGGCTTGTGATCAGTGTAAATAGTGTAATGTCGGCCATATAGAAATTGGTGGAATTTCTTGACCGCAAATACCATAGCCAATCCTTCTTTATCCAGCTGAGAATACATCTTTTCGGCAGATGTCAATGTTCGCGATGCAAAAGTAATCGGTCGTTCACTCCCATCTGGCATCTCATGAGATAAAACCGCTCCAACACCATAGGGTGAAGCATCACAGGATACGGTTAATTTCTTGTTTGGGTTATAATGGACTAACACTGTTGCAGATTGTAACAAAGTCTTAGATCGTTCAAATGCACGAATCTGTTCTGTGTTCCATTTCCATCTCTGATTCTTACGAAGTAGCTGGTACAGTGGCTCTAACTCAGTTGACAGATTTGGTAAGAATTTACCATAGAAATTGAGCAATCCCAAGTATGCTTTCAACTCGGTAACATTGGTAGGTGTAGGTGCTTCTTGAACTGCTTTCACCTTGGCTTCAACTGGATAAATACCCGTTTCGTCGGTATGGTAACCCAAACACTCGAGGGTAGGTTGCATAAAACGACACTTCGACTTCTTTAGACGTAACCCAGCTTCAGAAAGACGCTTCATCACTTCTTCCAGGTTCTGAAGGTGTTCTTCATCCGTCGGTCCAGAAATCAAAATGTTATCAAGGAGGATGCCAGTGTATGGAATTCCGTTGAGTAAACTTTCCATCGTTCTTTGGAAAATTCCAGGCGCAGATGATACACCATATGGCAGACAGTTGTACCGGTACAAATCACGATGCGTGTTTATCGTTACCACGTC